CCCTTGGTAGAGTGCCCTGCCATCACAGCTCATAGCAACCTCCAACTCTTGGGCTCAAGCAATTCTCTTGCCTCAGCCTCCCAAGTAGGTGGAACTACAGGCACCAGGTTTTGCTACAGTTGTCATTGTTGTTTTAGCTGGCCGGGCCAGATTCAAACCTGCCAGCCTCAGTGTATGTGGCTGGCGCCGTAACCACTGTACTACGGGCACTGAGCCAGGGTCTTGGTCTTGCTCAGGCTGGTCTCGACCTCCTGAGCTCAAGGAATCCCCCCACCTTGGCCTCCCCAAGTGCCAGGATTACAGGCTTTAGCCACCACACCTGGTCTGTTTAAAATTTTTCATAATAAAAAAGTTTTTTAAGAGTCCACCTAGTACTCTGAAGACCAGAGAGGTGAGCAAACACCAACAGACATCAATTGTGAACTTTCTGCAGAGGCCCTAAGGATATGGAAAGGTATAAGACACAGGCCTCTGGTCCAAAGAGTTTGGAATCCTCCCCCCTTTACTGCATATAAAGAGTGATAGAGAAAAGAAATAAGGACGATCCTGACTTGAGCCTAGGCGTCAAGATGGGGCCAGGACCTCACTTAAAGTGCAGGCAGGCAGGGAGGGAGAGGGAGGTGGTCTGGGAATGAAGAAACCTGGTTTGAAGCCTGAGGGGACTGAGGTGGTATGTGCAGGACATAAAAGCACATGTATGTGGATAGTGCAGGTCTAAGAGCAGGAGAAAAGCGAGGCTGAGATCCCTGCCCAGAAGATAGCATCAAAGAAGCAAGACTCGCCTCTCTGAGGGTGAGGACTAAGGGAGAAGGCTGAATCTGAGAAGATATACAGAGAAGGAAGAAGAGTAGCCAGAGGAGAGGAAGGTGATGGGGAAAAGAGGAGCACACATCTTTCAGCTCACAGATCGAGGAGACTGAGGCGCTGGGGAGTAAGGAGCACTGCCTGAGGGACAGTTATCAACTTCACCACGTGCTCCCAGGTGACACGGGCTGTACCTGTGGAGCTGGGGCACGTGCTGGCTGCAGAGCCTTTGGAGGCTCAAAGGACTGCAGCATGCCCATCCGCCTCCACACCGAGGCTCTGGAACCCGGCCTTCACGGGGGTCCCGGAGTGGGGACTTGTGGGTGTGCTTGTCCTGCAGCAAGCAGGACTGTGCCCTGAACTGCTGCGGTCCCTTCTGGGCTCCCAGCAATCTCTGCTTCTAGATGATTCTCTCTAGCTGGAGGGAGGCATTTTTTCACCAGACATTCCACCCTGCTGCTTGAAGAATGTATCCAAATGCGTCTGCCCTCTCTGGGCTTTAGGTGGGTGGGAATGGCTGAGTCTCAGGATCTGTCTGATGCAGGGGGATCAAGTGGAACAAATGCCTCAGCTTCTTTCTCTGCTACATAGTTGTCTTCTTGCTGCTGCTGTGAACTGGCTGGCCAAGTGTCTTCTCTGAGCAGCCACTGCTGGTCTGGGGACCGAAAACACTCAGAAGTTCAGCACCTTCCTCCCTGCTTGTGGCTGCCTTGGCTCAGACACCTCTGCCCATGGCTCTTCCTGTGTGGAGTGAAAGAGCCGGCCAAGGTGACAAGACAGGACAGGGGCTGCAGGCCCTTAGCACGAGAGTGGACACGTGCGAGGGCAGGTGGTAAGGCATGGGCAGGTGTGCACGTGAGGAGTGAGGAGCAGGCCCATCGCTCTGAGAGATGAGCAGGAAGGGAGCTTCCTTATTCCTGTTTCCAGCCCCCTTAGAAGAGCCTCTGGTCTCTAAAAGAAGGGAGAGAACACCTAACACCAAAGGTTCCATCATCTCACAAAGAAAACAAAGGAGAGAACACAGAAGGCTGGGGAAGCACCAAAGAGGAGAAGCGAGGAGGTGAGGCAGACATTTCCAAAGGGGGGCACCTACTTTCTGTAGTCTGCTGGCTGAGAGAAGTCTGGTCAAACTCTAAGTTCCTTCTCAACTCCAATCTGTCCTGCTAGGATTTGTGGCCTCAAATCCTTCACAGAGCACTGCTGCTGCTGAACCCAGGCCCTGTGGGACATCTCTGCATCCCTTGGCAGCTGAAGGTCCTTGTCACACTGCTTTTCAAGCACTCTCCTATCACAGAAGCATCCGGGGTTCCCCAAGAAGAAACGCAGACCACGCTCAGGACAAACTGGTAGCAGTCTAAGCCCCTCCAGGACAGCCCTGAATTCAACAGGGTGGAGAAGGCTTTGGACTTCCGGCAACTTGGGACAAACAGGCATGGTGTCACAGGCAGCTCGTGATGTCACAGAGCTGAAGGGGAGAACTGTCATTAAACTGACATATTCTCAGATTTGTAAGTTTAGCAGAAACATAAGCTTATTTTGGTTAAGAAAAATCATGAGGAAGTTGTTTTTAAAGAAACTCAAAAATATTTTAACTAAACCACGAAGTTTTGTCCTTTAAAAAATAAAAAGAGGTAGCCGGGCATTGTGGCGGGCACCTGTAGTCCCAGCTACTCGGGAGGTTGAAGCAAGAGAATCTCCTAAGCCCAAGAGCTGGAGGTTGCTGTGAGCTGTGATGCCACAGCACTCTATTGAGGGTGACAAAGTGAGACTCTGTCTCTAAAAAAAATAAAATAAAAAGAGGCGGGGCATGGTGGCTCACACCTATAATCCTAGCACTCTGGGAGGCTGAGGTGGGTAGATTGCTTGAGCTCAGGAGTTTTGAGACCAGTGTAAGCAAGAGCAAGACCCTGTCTCAAAAAAATAGGCAAGCCTTGTGGCAGGCGCCTGAAGTCCCAGGTACTTGGGAGGCTGAGGCAAGAGGATCACTTGAGCCCAAGAGTTTGAGGTTGCTATGAGCTATGAGGCCATAGTACTCTACTGAGGGCAACAAAGTGAGACTGTCTCAAAAATAAATAAATAAAGGTTTCTTCTAAAAATCTGTTGAAAATACAAAGTAGAGCAGAAGCTCCAATGGAGATTCTCTTCTACATGTTCAGAGATAGCTACACCACCTCCATTCCCTAAAACAAAAATTCCTGTGCCCTGATGGGAAGAGGCAGCTGGTCCAGAAGAGGAAGAGAGTTTGTATGCACCCTACGTCTGTGTGTGGCAGCAGCCCAAAGGGAGAGCTGGGTTTCACAAGGGCCACTCTCAGTGAAGCAGACCTGGAATAGGATCAAGACCCTTAGACTCTGCCTTATCTTTCCAAGACACATGCAGAAGTGTTTACTGGTGAAGTATGTCATGAATTTGTCCATACCCAGTGGACAGGAATGGGAGAAAGTATGAACAAAAATGAAATAAGATTAACCATGAGGCTAGGTGTGGTGGCTCACTCTTGTAACCCTAAGTGCTCTGGGAGACTAAGGCGGGTGGATCATCTGAGCTTAGGAGTTCAAACTGAGCAAGAGCAAGACCTCGTCTCTACTAAAAATAGCAAAAGTAAGGCAGTGCCTATGGCTCAGTGAGTAGGGTGCCGGACCCATATACTGAGGGTGGTGGGTTCAAATCTGGCCCTGGCCAAACTGCAACAAAAATATAGCTAGGTATTATGGTGGGTGCCTGTAGTCCCACCTACTTGGGAGGCTGAGGCAAGAGAATTGCCTAAGCCCAAGAGCTGGAGGTTGCTGTGAGCTGTGATGCCACTGCACTCTACCAAGGG